TCCCTTCCACTCTTTACATAGTAAGTGGTCCCCCCCCCGCCTCGGTTGTCATTTTCATTAAGCAAGCTGCAAAGGCAGGTCAACCAGTCTTTGACTTTGATCCCTTTAAATTATAGGGGGCCTTTATAATAATAGTAAACCCTTGTCTGATTTGTGTCTTGCACATATCTTTTGTACTGTATAACTATTGACTCTGTGTTATCCCTAGACCCTTTCAGCACAGTGGGCAGGTGGTCCTACCAGGCTTGACATGATCCAATATTTTATGCTTGTGGTGCTATAATTTCCAATCAAAAATTGGTATACCATTGAGTAAAATTTTATTTGACTTGTCAAATGTCCTTATGGTACAATGAATAAAATTCCAGTTAAAACTAATTTTAACTTAACCAGCACAATAAGTGTGATTAGGTTACTAAGGTAAATTTATTGGGATGAGTCTCGTATATATATATATATATCAAAGACCAGATACTTTGACCTTGACCCTATCATGGGCTATGATAGTTATTTGTGTTTGGGGCATAACTGTTCTCTTGAGAACTTGGCTGATGGTTAACAGAACTTTAAGTCAAAACTGATTTAATGTGCAAATGCATTTTGGGAAAGTGATGTCAACCATGTCAATTAGATGGAAATACTGGAAATTTAAAAGTTTATGTGATCTTTTTATTTATTAGTAAAAGGCAACAGGACATGCATACAACGTAGCAAATATAAAATTTATACATTTTAAATTTCTGTTATTTTTTAATTTTAGATAAAATCACATTTATTAACAGATTAAAACTCATATTTGAGACTGTCATCAAAGATTTGCAATATTTAATCATAAATGCATGCATTAATTTTGGACAATATATTTCTGTAGACCTATCACAAACCATGTGTGAACCTAATACAGACATGACCGAAGCAAATGCAATGATTTAAAAAAAAAACATAACTGAAAGCCAAATATCTCAAAAGGTTGTTGTCTCAATACTTAATTCCAAAGCAGCAACTAAAATGCATGCACAGGGGTATCATGGGTAATTTAGTCACACTATCCAGTCAGACAGCTCTAGTTATTAATGTAAGCATTAATTATCACAGCATCAATGAACATGGACAAAAACTAATGCATAATAAACATATGACATGAAGCTTTTTTTGCTACATTGTATTTGTCAAAATAAGCAATATACCTATTTTTATTTGTTTTTATTTCAGCCTGATTCCAATCTTTGGCTAATACTAGAAGAGGCAAGGCATACATGTACAATACATGACTCTCTCTAGCAGCTGGATTGACTATTCACCACAATAATTCCATAACAGCATTACAGCAATGAAACTCTACACTACTATGATGTTATGAAGATATTTACATGTACCGGTATATCTACAGATATGATCAACTTTGAAGATTATTTATGCCAGGTCATGTCGACTAGTCAGACAAATTTTGGTTCAGGTTTCTGACAGGAATTATTATAAACTTGCCAGCAGTTACAACACATGAATATTATTTGTTATTAAGTTTGCCCATCGATCTAGCAATTTTTAGAGACTTTCAGAACTATGATATGTCAGAATCTGTGTAACTGTTACTACAAAAGGAGATATATTATTGCACACTGTGAAGTATACCTAGTTATCAGAAACTTTTTGCATGAAGTTATATAAAGATAGTTGGAATTCATGATATTGATCATGTTGATGCATTGTGCAGAAACATGAAATATTTTAGTTTGTATTCTTGACAATCTAAGAGCAAGGTTAAATTGGAGAATTATTTATTACCATAATTACGCAGCACTATTTCGATTATGGATTCTTTTCAATTTTATTAATATTTACTGAATGCATATTTGTTACTTGTTTAAATACAAATGTATATCTAAGAAATGAAGAAAATAAAAATATTAAAAAAAGATGGACAAAATATTTGTATTATTTAAATTTGTTGCAATTTTTGTCTCGCCTTGACAGAGTCAAAAAGAGAGACATAGGCATGCTGTTTTCGCGGCATCAACAATGTATTAGTTTGTGATTTTGTGATTAGGTCTAGTTTATGGTAGGTCATTGATATTTGGTAAGCAGTTGTGTTAGCAGAGGCACATCTCATTACCATGGTGATTATTTGGCCCCACTCCTCTTAGTCATGGTCTATTGACTTTGAAACTTTGCATAGTTTACATGTATAAGTTTGTGATTAGGTCAGTTTAGGGGGAACCATACGGCCACTCTAGGTAGGTCAATGATATTTGATATGCAGTTGTATAAACTTTGTCATGTCTAATTTCCATTGAGATTATTTGGCCCCACCCCCTCAATCATGCTCTTTTGACTTGGAAACTTAAGTACTTTGAAATTTCATTTATTAGTTTTTGATTAGGTTAGTATTAGGGAAACCAATAGTGGTAGGTCAATGATAATTGGCATGCAGTTGTGGAAGCATTATTACATCTCATTTCCATAGAGAATATTTGGTCCTTACCCCTGAGTCATGCTCTATTGACTTTGAAACTTTTACTTAGTTTACATGTATTAGTTTGTGATTATGTCAGTTTAAGATGAACCAGTAATCTTAAGTCAAAGATATTTGGTATGCGAACATATTGGTATTTAAAAGTTTCATTTCCATGGAGATTATTTAACCCCACCCCCTCATTATGGTTCATTGACTTTGAAACTTTTACATAGTTTACAAGTGAATTTGTGTTAAGGTTTGTTTAAAGGGAACGACTTATGAAAAGTCAATGGTGTTTGGTAAGCAGTTGTATTAGCATTGGCACATCTCATTTCCATGGAGATTGTTCAGCCCTGTATCATCAGTCATGGTTCATTGTCTTTGAATATCACTAACATGTTAAAGTATTTCTATTTAATTTCAACATTTGCATTATCAAAATAACAAATAGATAAGACATGTCTCTGTGTTAACAGCTTATTATAGATTAGACAATTATTATAATAAAATGCTCCACTGTGCGCAGCTTGATACGACTGCAGAGGTCAAACACTGAACAGTTGGGGCAAGACTTAGTATGGACACAACATTCAAGCTTGATACAGCACTGAATTTGGATTGTGATTAAATATTTGACACAGCACAGGTTTCTGACACAGAATGAATGTGGTCTAAGAACTTAAAAATTTTAATTTTACCTATTCAAACCATATCATTATTATTTGCTTTTATATATAAATCAGAAATAACCAATTTAAAATGGAAAATTTTAAAGAAAAAAAAATCCCCCCCAAATTTTTTGAACCCCCTTATGATTTATCACCCCCAGACTCAATCCCAGCCTTCCCTTTGTGGTATGGTACCTGCAGTACAATTTCAGAGAGATCCATACACTTGAACACAAGTTATTGTCTGGAAACTAGAAAAATGCTTGTTTTTTGGCCCCAAATTCCTAAACGTTTAGGGCAATTACCGCCAAACTCAAACCCAGTTTTCCCTTCGTGATATGGAACCTTGTAGTACAATTTCATAAAGATCCATACACTTACACACAAGTTATTGTCCTGAAACTAGAAAAATGCTTGTTTTCTGCCCCTAATTCCTAAAACTTTGAAGCAATTACCCCCAAAATCAATCCCAGCCTTCTCTTTGTGGTATGGTATCTTGCAGTACAATTTCAGAGAGATCCATACACTTGAACACAAGTTATTGTCTGGAAACTAGAAAAATGCTTATTTTTGGCCCCTTATTCCTTAACGTTTTGGGCAATTACTCCCAAACTCAATTCCAGCTTTCCCTTTGTGATATGGAACCTTGTAGTACAATTTCAGAAAGATCCATACACTTACACACAAGTTATTGTCATGAAACTAGAAAAATGCTTGTTTTTTGCCCCTTTTTTGGCTCCTAATTCTTAATATTTTGAGGCAATTACCCCCAAAATCAATCCCAGCATTCCCTGTGTGATATGGAACCTTGTGGTACAATGTCAGAGAGATCCATACACTAACACACAAGTTATGTCTGGAAGTTACAAAAATGCTTATTTTTGGCCTCTTTTTTGGCCCCTAATTCCTTAACTGTTGGTACCATAACCCCCAAAATCAATCCCAACCTTCCTTTTGTGGTATTGAACCTTATGGTAAAATTTCATAGAGATCCATTCACTTAAACTAAAGTTAGAGTGCGAAAACCAATGTGTCTTGCGGTCGTATAAAAATAAGATGTGGTATGATTGCCAATGAGATCACCAAAATTCAAGTGAATGTAAGCAATTATAGGCAACCATACAGCCTTCAAAAATATATGTTGCATCATTGCTAGGCCATTATAACAACATCAGCATTTAGTGTAATATAATCTACAAGAAAATTACACCACTTCAGATAGTTTCAGGTATGATTTAATAATTGTGTATTGTGGCACCAGCTGATCCAACTCAAACTGCTAATATGGCATATTAAAACTCTAGTTCATAGTGGAATTAAACCATACACCACTGTTGACACCATTATTCTGATAAGAATATTCCTCCACAAGTTGAATTCAATCCTCAGTGTATGGAGAAGTTTACAGAAGTTAATTACTATAGATCTGGTATGATGATCATACAGCCTGCAACAATGAGCAAAACCTATACTGCATAGTAAGCTATAAACAACCCCGAAATGACAAATGTAAAACAGTAAAACTAGCAGCCTGATTTATTTACAAAATAATTATGGAAAATAAATATGATATACAGCAACAATCAACAATCACCAAATTACTGGGTCCTCACTATGGACAGGTACATACAGAATGTGGTGGGTTAAACATGTTAGCTGGCACAAAACTCTCCCCTAACATGGGACAGTGTATGTGCATAATCTCAGACATTGAATCTTTAAAAAATAAATTGAAAATAAATTTTGAAAATAGTAGGATTGGATAGCGGAAACATTACGGTACAAACATTATTTGATACTTGAGAAATAGCTGAGATAAATAATTACACCAATTCTTCCACAATATTCATCTTAACTTCTGCCATGTTTGCCTTGGTTTTTTTTTAATTAACTGCCTATAGCACCCTTGGTGCTTTGATTTTGTTATGCCAGGGACCTTATATAGCTTACTATATGATACAAGATTTTCTCATTGATGACTCTTATTAGAAGTCCATTGACCAAAAGAATAGTAGATCATGTTAATCTGATTGATAATCAGATTTCAGGTAAAAGTATATCCTGTTGTATTTTCAAGGTATAGGCCAAAACATGATTTGACCCCCATGTTCTAAATTTATGTCAGGATGATTGGGCTAAATTTAGTCCAAATTAGCACAGTTGTTGTTGAATAGTATAGGACAACGGACACCAAGTGATGGAAATGGCTCACATGAACCTTTGGTCTAATGTGATCTGAAAAAGGGTGCACTCAGCTTGCAAGTGTAATTAAGTTTGTCAATAACCTACCCAAGACTTGAGGTTTGTCAGTTACCTACCCAAGGCTTGAAGTTTGTCAATAACCTACCCAAGACTTGAAGTTTGTCAATAACCTACCCAAGACTTGAAGTTTGTCCATAACCTACTAAAGACTTGAAGTTTGTCGATAACCTACCCAAGACTTGAAGTTTGTCCATAACCTACTAAAGATTTGAAGTTTGTCAGTAACCTACCCAAGACTTGAAGTTTATCAATAGCCTACTAAAGACTTGAAGTTTGTCAATAACCTACTAAAGACTTGAAGTTTGTCAATAACCTACCCAAGACTTGAATTTTGTCAAAAGCCTACTAAAGACTTGAAGTTTGTAAATAACCTACCCAAGACTTGAAGTTTGTCAATAACCTACCCAAGACTTGAAGTTTGTCAATAACTTACCCAAGACTTGAAGTTTGTCCATAACCTACTAAAGACTTGAAGTTTGTCGATAACCTACCCAAGACTTGAAGTTTGTCCATAACCTACTAAAGATTTGAAGTTTGTCAGTAACCTACCCAAGACTTGAAGTTTATCAATAGCCTACTAAAGACTTGAAGTTTGTCAATAACCTACTAAAGACTTGAAGTTTGTCAATAACCTACCCAAGACTTGAAGTTTGTCAAAAGCCTACTAAAGACTTGAAGTTTGTAAATAACCTACCCAAGACTTGAAGTTTGTCAATAACCTACCCAAGACTTGAAGTTTGTCCATAACCTACTAAAGACTTGAAGTTTGTCGATAACCTACCCAAGACTTGAAGTTTGTCCATAACCTACTAAAGATTTGAAGTTTGTCAGTAACCTACCCAAGACTTGAAGTTTATCAATAGCCTACTAAAGACTTGAAGTTTGTCAATAACCTACTAAAGACTTGAAGTTTGTCAATAACCTACCCAAGACTTGAAGTTTGTCAAAAGCCTACTAAAGACTTGAAGTTTGTAAATAACCTACCCAAGACTTGAAGTTGGTCAATATCCTACAAAAATGTACCCAAGGTGATTCCCTCCGGTTTCCTCAACCACTATATATAACTGACCATTGATCTTATACTTGAAAGTGATATTAAATTACAAGTCAATCAATCATATTATAATGCCCAATTGCATTTAATCTGAATTATGAATCTCCAACCAGAATATTTTGATGCTTCAGTTAAATGACTCTGCATCAACCTATTTCAATGGAAGCTTTATTCTGCAATTAACCTACTGTGGATTAATTTATTTTCGTGGGTACCAATTTTCGTGGATTGAGGAAAACTAGCATTTTCGTGGATATTTAATTTCGTTGTTTTGGCAAAGTCTGCATACATTCCTTTAGAAAACTTGTAATTCGTTGAACATTTAAATTCGTGGTTCCACTGTACCCACGAAATCCACGAAAATTGGTATCCAACGAATATTAATGAATCCACAGTATCTGTACTTTAAATTAATTCACATGAAAAATCATTGACTAATATTTACAAATATGTTTATTCATGTAAAAACACATAAACATTAAATAAAATAAACCTGGATATAATAAAATATGCTATCACATTAATAGTGCTAGTCCAATAAATAAATACATATACATGCAATTCAATTCAATGTTCAAATGTAAATGGCTGGCCATTTATGGACGGATTGGTCTAGATGAAAAATTAACTATCAAATGCTGTTACAGCAGAATTCATTGAGTGTGTAGGTAAGATTAGAATCTTTGGTTAGCTTGCTTGTTAGCTGAACCGTGAAGTCATTATTAGGTTAGGTATACTACCCTCCTTTCGGAGTAGTCTAGTCCTACAGACAGTTAGTTTGGTTATCTGTCAGACTAGTCTACTCTTAAAGGAGGGTAGTTTACCTAACCTAATAATGACTTCACAGTTCAGCTAGCAAGCAAGCTAACGAAAGATATTACCTTTACCTTCACACTCAATGAATTCTGCTGTAAAGAATTCAACAAACTGAACATTTTATTTCTTAATTTTTTAACACGCATATAATAAAATAAAAGAAGAATGTGTCTGAGGACACGAATGCCCCCGCTCAAACTTTGCAATTTTCCAAGTTAAAAATGGGCATAACTCTAGAACGATAAGTTACTCACTGCCCGAATTCGAACTCTGTCTGCTAGTTTTTGTTCTTAGCATTGTGTATGAGTTTCATAAAAATTGCATGAGGCAAACATAAGTTAGAATGCGGAAATGAAAATGCAATGGACGGAAGGACGGTCAAGGGTAACACTAAATGCCCCCGTTGCCTACAACAGGGCATAAAAAGATTAGCACAGTATTAAATACAAACAATCTTAAACTTTAGAATCTAAAACATTGTTGAGAATGTACTACTTTTGAAACATCCTAAATAAGTCTCCATATTTTACTACACTATCTTCCTGTAAGTACATTATATAAAAGTAATTGATGCATTCAGTTGTCTTTCATGCTGAGCACAAAATACTGATAAAGATTGCACATTTTATAATTACATGTGGGAATTCTGAACATTTGTAAACATTTTTGATGTTAAGTATATACTGTTTCATAATAGACACCATGGAAAGAAACGATTATTTAGGTTTAGGTTTTTGTGCTCAATGAAAACATAATTTCTATATGTGGAATGCAGTTTAGGGATTGTTCTTCTTGCACAATGAACTTTTTAATATATATCTATGAAAGACATTTTATAAGGAGTTTGAACATATGTCTCCTTTGGTAGTGTCAGATGTTAATGTTCTATCATATCATGATTGCTCTCTCCGTCTTTTGTCTTCTGCCATCATTCTTTCTAATTCTCTTGATCTTTTCTTATCAATTATCTCCATTTCTCTTATCAACTACAAAAATCAAATAACAATAATGAATTAGAATTATGCCAAACCGAAACTTCTTTGTTGCATTACCCTTACATTTGTATACCATTAGGAATTTTGTAACTGGTTCAAGTGAAAAATTTCTTTTAATTGAAAATATTTGAAAAAAGTTTATGCAACACTGACAGAAAAACACATAAGTATTAACAAGAATGCACACCAGACAAGTCTCGCCTGCTACACTGATCTTGATTAAATTGAATTTTATAAATCTTTAAGATAAATGTTTTACTTAATATGTGATCCATGAAAATGAGCTTACAGTCATTTCAGAATGGAAAGTACTTTAATAGTTAAAGCTTGGGAATGATTTTTGAGTAATTTTGTCAATTTGTTTCACCCTTCATGACATTTCTGCATCCTTTTATTAGTTTGAGTCATAAACATGAAAGAATTTTTTGACAGTAATCATTTTGGTAAAGGTCGCCAATTTTTTTCATTGAACTGATCCCTCAATATTATTCATTAACAGGTTATAAAACACACTTGCACAATTTGAACTAGGTGATCATGTGATTGATATTGTACAGGTTAGCACAGGTAATAAACTAGCACAGATAATAATAAAATGCTTCGCTGGGGCGCAGCTTGATACGACCGCAGAGGTCGAACCCTGAACAGTTGGGGCAAGTATGGACACAACATTCAAGCTTGATACAGCACTGAATTTGGATTGTAATTAAATATTTGACACATCATAGGTTTCTGACACAGAATGAAAGTGGTCTAAGAACTTAAAAAATTTTAATTTACCTATTCAAATCATTATTATTTGCTTTTATATATAAATCAGAAATAACCAATTTAAAATGGAAAATTCTAAAGAAAAAAAAGGAAAAAAAAATCCCTCCCCCAAATTTTTTGAACCCCCTTATGATTCACCACCCCCAAACTCAATCCCAGGCTTCCCTTTGTGGTATGGTACCTTGCAGTACAATTTCAGAGAGATCCATACACTTGAACACAAGTTATTGTCTGGAAACTAGAAAAATGCTTGTTTTTTTGCCCCTTTTGGCCCCAAATTCCTAAACGTTTAGGGCAATTACCCCCAAACTCAAACCCAGCTTTCCCTTTGTGATATGGAACCTTGCAGTACAATTTCATAAAGATCCATACACTTACACACAAGTTATTGTCCTGAAACTAGAAAAATGCTTGTTTTTTTGCCCGTTTATGGCCCCTAATTCCTAAAATTTTCAGGGAATTACCCCAAAATTAACCCCAGCCTTCCCTTTGTGGTATGGTACCTTGCAGTACAATTTCAGAGAGATCCATACACTTGAACACAAATTATTGTCTGGAAACTAGAAAAATGCTTATTTTTGGCCCCTTTTTCCTCAGCTTTTAGGTCAATTACCCCCAAACTCAATTCCAGCTTTCCCTTTGTGATATGGAACCTTGTAGTACAATTTCATAAAGATCCATACTCTTACACACAAGTTATTGTCATGAAACTAGAAAAATGCTTCTTTTTGGCCCCTTTTTGGCCCCTAATTCCTTTAATGTTAATACCATAACCCCAAAAATCAATCCCCACCTTCCTTTTGTGGTATTGAACCTTATGGTAAAATTTCATTGAGATCCATTCACTTAAACTAAAGTTAGAGTGCGAAAACTAATGTGTCTTCGGACGACGACGGCGACGCCAACGTCATACCAATATACGACCACAAAAATTTTTTTGCGGTCGTATAAAAACTTGATTCCATTGCAGACAGCTGAAGGTCATATAGCACTGTGGTAAGTCTAATAGAACAGCAGTAAAATGTGATAGCACTAAATAACACAGCCTTTAAATTGACTGGGGAGAACACTGATTACAAACAGTTTAAAAACTATGGGTTTCAAAAAATAAAATAAAGAAGTAAGGAAATTGATGCTAGATTGTAACCTTATCAGTCGACACTTCTGAATTGAAAATAATGGAAGAATTATTTAAGCAATGCTTGCTTTGTACAGGAAAAGTATTTTACAGCAACTTTTTAAAAAGATTACAAAAATCCTGTATCAAATGATGTTAGTAGCTCATACCAGACCGTTGACAACTTTGGCTTTTCTGTGTAGGCAGATAACTGTAATCGGGCTTGTATAGTTCGCACTGGTACATTGTCCGCACCCCCTTCTCCCCACAAAATTTCAGGTAAAAAAACTTTTTGTAACTGTTAGAAAATGTCTAATGAAGCTCTGGTAATTTCAAATTGTGTGTGGTAGTTTGCCGTTTTCCATCATCAAACAGAAGTTGTAACTGCTTGTAAATGATTCTAGAACACTTCACGATTGTTAAAATAAGTCAAAATCACACAAAAAAAACAATTTAGAAACTTGTGTATGTTTAAACCAGAAGTTTGAATAGCACGTGTAAAAGAAAATTAAAACGGTGAGAGTCGAAATCCGTACTTAATAGATATCATTATAATACGACTTTGAAAGTAAAACAGATCATCCTTGTGTAAAAAAATGTTTAATATATCTATTACATTAATGTTTGAAGGGTCTTAAGCTAATACAAAACATATTCGTTAGTATGAAACACCAAAACGGAACGAATAATAACCGATTACGTTTTGTAGTTTATACATCGTAAGCTGGTTTATGGTTGACTTTTATACTTTTTTCGTTCCATTTCATTCAAGCAGACTCCAGTTTATTTTAAGCAATGCAGTGAAAAGAAACGAGAAATTTGTAATGAAGCATTTTTAAATTTATCAGTATTAATTTGATATTTAATAACTAGAGGCTCTAAAGAGCCTGTGTCGCTCACCTTGGTCTATGTGCATATTAAACAAAGGACACAGATGGATTCATGACAAAATTGTGTTTTGGTGATGGTGATGTGTTTTGGTGATGGTGATGTGTTTGTAGATCTTACTTTACTGAACATTCTTGCTCCTTACTATTATCTCTATCTATAATGAACTTGGCCCGGTAGATACAGTGGAAAATACTTTGTAAAAATTTACAAAAATTTACAAAATTTATGAAAATTGTAAAAAATTGACTATAAAGGGCAATAACTCCTTAAGGGGTCAATTGACAATTTTGGTCATGTTGCCTTATTTGTAGATCTAACTTTGCTGTACATTATTGCTGTTTACAGTTTATCTCTATCTATAATAATATTCAAGATAATAACCAAAAGCTGCAAAATTTTCTTAAAATTACCAATTCAGGGGCAGCAACCCAACAATGTGTTGCCTGATTGGTCTGAAAATTTCAGGGCAGATAGATCTTGACCTAATGAACAATTTTATACTGATCAGATTTGCTCTAAATGCTTTGGTTTCAGAGATATGAGCCAAAAACTGCATTTTACCCTATGTAATATTTTTTAGCCATGTCGGCCATCTTGGTTCACGGGCGGGGTCATAGGACACATTTTTTAAACAAGAAACCCTAATGATGATTGTGGACAAGTTTGGTTAAATTTGTCTTAGTAGTTTCAGAGGAGAAGATTTTTGTAAAAGATTACAAAAATTTATGAAAAATGGTTAAAAATTGACTATAAAGGGCAATAACTCCTTAAGGGGTCAACTGACCATTTTGGTCAAGTTGACTTATTTGTAGATCTTACTTTGCTGAACATTATTGCCGTTTACAGTTTATCTCTATCTATAATAATATTCAAGATGATAACCAAAAACGGCAAAATTTCCTTAAAATTACCAATTCAGGGGCAGCAACCCAACAACTGGTTGTCCGATTCATCTGAAAATTTCAGGGCAGATAGATCTTCACCTAATAAACAATTTTCCCCATGTCAGATTTGCTCTAAATGCTTTGGTTTCAGAGATATAAGCCAAAATCTACATTTTACCCCTATGTTCTATTTTTAGCCATGGCGGCCATCTTGGTTGGTTGGCCGGGTCACCGGACACATTTTTTTAACTAGATACCCCAATGATGATTGTGGCCAAGTTTGGTCAAATTTGGCCCAGTAGTTTCAGAGGAGAAGATTTTTGTAAAAGTTTACGGACGACGGACGCAAAGTGATGAGAAAAGCTCACTTGACCTTTCAGGTCAGGTGAGCTAAAAATAACTTAATATTAATTTGGTAAAATTATTAGTTTTGAAAATGAGAATCGAATGTTTCTCTTATTTCTTGCTTATTGTACGCTATAGTCCGCACCCCTTTCTGGCAGGTTCAATTTTGGAGAATAAAACTGCGGACTATACAAGCCTTTTAACGGTAATCCCAACATTTTTGTGTTTGACAATAAAAGTAATGCTGAATCCAGAAACATATTTTATTCACATCAAATTTATTATCAGCACATCTCAATTTGATTCTGGCTGATCTTTGACAAAGACTATTATTTACCCTAAATAAACACTCAGCATCATCAAGTTCTTTTTTATTTCATATGACAAAATAATTTGATCAGGAATCTGAAGATCCTTTGTACACTTGATGAGTTACCCATTCAATGTAAAAATTTTAATTACCTTCTATTCTTTTTGTAATATATTGTCTACATAGATTTTAAAGAACAATATCAAACTTTACCTGTGAGACTTCAGTTTCTATAACAGTTCTGTATTTTCCACCCTGTCCAAGGTCTTCCATCTCTCTAAGGAAACCTCTCCTTTCATCTATTTCTGCTTGCACTGAAACAGTTAACATAGTAATAAATGTTTGAATTTTTTATATATTAAAGTATTTTTCTCAAGCCATTCTTTTAAATATTCAGATATAGATTTTCATTGTAACAAAGGCGCAAAGATAACAAAGTGAAAAATATATCTGGATGTAGCATTTGTGCGATATGTGAAAAATTGTCTTAATTCAAATGGTTAAAGTTATGTAACTCTGAAACAACAAACTAGTAAATTGTAAAAATGGAAAGGGAAATTCCTTTTATCAATCAGAACAATAATGTAAAGTTTTGAGGAAATCAATCAGAGAATACTGGAGCTAGTGCACTATATGCGAAAAGTTGCCTCAATTCAAACGCTTAAAGTTCAGTTACTCTGAAACAACTTAGCCAAAATTTATTTTAATCGAAAGGGAGCTTTCTTCTGTCAATCCTAATGTTTTGTTAAAATTACATTAGAATTGGTTAAAGCAAATTTGAGTTATCATACGAAGTGTTGACAGACGGATGGACGATGGTATACCATAATATGTCCCATCTTCAAAAGGGCGTATAATAAAAATTGTCTCTTTTCTAATTTCAATTCCTGATTTTGGATAATAGATAATTATAGATAAAGTAAAACACCAAATATTTTCAGACACAAAAGAAATGGTGTAAATCAAGATGAAGACTTTGTCTATACAGTTACTCATGATTTTAAGAGCTAAAATGTTTTCCATTCTACAAATATGAAAATTTTGTCTGAACAGTTTCTCATTATTTTAAGACTAACTTTTTTCCATTATACAAATATGAAGATTTTGTCCAAACAGTTACACATTATTTTAAAAGCTTAAATGTTTTCCATTCTACAAATATAAAATTTTAACATACATTCATCAAACCTGTCTACAGGAGGCTCTTGTATTTGAACTTGAAGTTTCTTCTTCTTTTTGTCATGTGGGTCTATGTCTTCACCAAATGCCATGATGTTAGCTAATCTTTGTTTATTCTTCTCATTGTCTCTTCCCACTAAAACAAATACAATGTATTTACTTTATTTGATATTGCAAAGGGCATAAAACCTTACCCCAGAAACAAGGGGTGTTAACCTGGCTATTTTTTTTTACAAAGTGAAATGTCCCATTGAATAAATACAATAGCTATTGTTCTCTGTGAAATTTAAATTTCTCCTTGAAAAATCAATAATCTATTAATTAATTTGGCCTACAAAAAAATAAACTCCTAGTGATGAAAATACCAATACTGAATAATTACATGCTGTGTGTTATGTTGTAGTTATGCCTCAGTGGGTAAATTAAGTATTAAAAGTATTGTGAAACAGGAAGTGACTGCTGGCAGATCTGAAAATCGTTTACATTGTACATTGATACTGGGGTGAATTAAGTTTGAGGGTCTCACTTACCATCTCATTTTTACGTACAAAGTAGGATAAAATCCAGAATGATGCTATGGGCCAATTTCTTGGACTGTTTTGATCGGCCAATCGATTTTCTCAGCTGTGCTTTTGAAACACATATTTGCTGATGTTATTGAGTGCAAAATAGCATTCTTTATCTGGTCACATATCAATCTCATCAATGAAATTTCATGAATTTGTTTTAAAGAACATTTATTTGTAATATCAACATGTTTTGTCGTGAGAAATACATATGTACTTATCTGTAAAAAAGAATGCACACGCTGAAATGTCTCGCCTGCTTTACTGACCATTGACTTTATGTTGAAAGTCTAGATCTTAAAGATAAAGGTTTCACTACAAGTATCTCATAAACTTATCATTTTAAAGATCCATGACAATGAGGTCAAGGTCAGATAAATTCTGTCAGACAGACAATACACCTTACAATTATTCTGTACACCAAATATAGTTGACCTATTGCTTATGGTTATTGAAAAACAGACCAAAACACAAAAAATTAATATTGACCAATGAACCATAAAGATGAGGTCAAGGTAAGATAAATCCCGTCAGACAGACAATACAGCTTACCATTATTCCGTACACCAAATATAGTTGACCTATTGCTTATGGTAATTGAAAAACAGACCTAAACACAACAAGAGTGCACACGCTGAAATGTCTCGCCTTCTTTACTAATCATTGATATTATGTTGATAGTCCTAAATATAAAGCTTTATTACAACTGTCACATAAACTTAACATTAACCAAGTAAACTAAACATTGACCAATAAACCATGAAAATGAGGTCAAGGTCAGATGAACCCTGCTAGGCAGGCATGTACAGCTAACAATTCTTCCATACAACAAATATAGTTGACCTATTGCTTATAGTTTAAGAAAAACAGACCAAAACACAAAAACTTAACACTGAGCAATGAACCTTGAAAATGATGTCAAGGTAAAAAAAAAACCTGCGTGACTGACAAATAGATCATAAAATATTTCCATACACCAAATATAGTTGAACTATTGCATATAGTATTAGAAAAAAAGACCAAAACTCAAAAACTTAACTTTGACCACTGAACCATGAAAATGAGGTCAAGGTCAGATGACACCTGCCAGCTAGACATGTACACCTTACAATCATTCCATACACCAAATATAGTAGACCTATTGCATACAGTATAAGAAAAACAGACCAAAACACAAAAACTTAACTATAACCACTGAACCATGAAAATGAGGTCAAGGTCAGATGACACCTGCCAGTTGGACATGTACACCTTACAGTCCTTCCATACACCGAATATACTAGACCTATTGCTTATAGTATCTGAGATATGGACTTGACCACCAAAACTTAACCATGTTCACTGATCCATGAAATAAGGTCGAGGTCAAGTGAAAACTGTCTACCGGGCATGAGGACCTTGCAAGGTTCCCATATACCAAATATAGTTATCCTATTACTTATAATAAGAGAGAATTTAACATTACAAAAAATCTTAACTTTTTTTTCAAGTAGTCACTGAACCATGAAAATGAGGTCAAGGACATTGGACATGTGACTGACGGAAACTTCGTAACATGAGGCATCCATATACAAAGTATGAAGCATCCAGACCTTCAACCTTCTAAAATATATAGCTTTTAAGAAGTTAGCTAACGCCGCCGCCGTAGCCGCCGGATCACTATCCCTATGTAGAGCTTTCTGCGACAAAAGTCGCAGGCTCGACAAAAACTTAACATTGACCAATGAACCATGAAAATGAGGTCAAGATCAGATAAAACCTGCCAGACTGACATTCTAAACCTTACAATCATTCCATACACCAAATATAGCTGTCCTATTGCTCATAGTACTTGAAAAACCGACCAAAACACAAAAACTTAACATTGACCATTTAACCATGAAAATGAGGTCAAGGTCAGATGAAATCTGCCAGACTGACATGTATGCTTGTCAATCATTCCATACACCACATTTAGTTGACCTACTGTTTAAAGTATCAAGGACAATGGACACATGACAGACAGAAACTTTATAACATAAGGTATCTGCATACAAGGTATGTAGCATCCAGGTCTTCTATCTTCTGAAATATATAGCTTTATACAAATAGTTTATGCTGCTGCCAGATAGTAATCCCTATGTCTTGCATACTGCGACGAAACAAGACAAAAATAATGAATATCTGAGGATGCTGGGGAATTCCTGATTTAATGATGTATATATATCAGTCAAAGGTTAACTTTAAGGTTGAGAAGAATGGGTACAAATGTAACTTGATAACCCGAAAACAGTCTAAAACAAGCTCAAAACCCCGAAAAACAGGTTAACTCCTTGAAAACAGACCTTTTCAAGTCAAATAGGATAAAAAAAGACAATATTAATGCATGTCAATTTTACAATTTCAACTTCATAAATATGGTTTTTAGACTTGTATGCACATTCTTTGTATAACAATATGTTGGACATATTATACAGAGTTGTCATCAATTTGTTTGTGGTAAACACAAATTTTATGTTCAACACAGTACAAGTTTGTTATAGGCTTGTATGCAGACTTTGACAAAGCCACAAAATCAAATATCAACAAAGATGCAAGTTTTCCTCAATTCATGAAAATTGGATCCACCAAAATAAATGAATCATCAGGACTTGAATTGTATAATTTTTAAATGTATAAATTGAAATGGAGCTGCGTAATAGTATAAATCCTACCATGTTGTCATGAAACAATATAACTTACTGGAATTGTGTGCTGGTGTATAATCAGTTTTTTCATAAGCACCACTTGCTTCTATTTGATCTTTTGTTCTAACTGTTGGTTTATAGTTCCTACAATTTATATTTTACATTTCTTCAACAAATCTGAAACATAACACTAAACAGAGATTTAAAAAATGGTCATGTCTAATTATTCAAAAAATAAATGGGGAATGTGTCCATGGGACACAGATGATGCCCCCGTTTGCATATCATATAAAGTAATAAAGGGACATAACTGAGGAATGGTAAAAGTGACGCTACCCAAATTTGTACTTGATACGAGTTTTGTAGTAATAAGTATTGTGTATAAGTTTCATAACATTTGGTTGAGGCAAACTTAAGGCAGAGAATGGAAACGAAAAATTCAGCAATTTTTCCATTTGTAAAGGGGCATAACTCTTGAACAGTAAAAGTGACGCCACGAAAATTCAAACATGATCTGTATTTTGTGGTAATAAGCATTGTGTATAAGTTTCATAACATTTGGTTCAGATAAACTTAAGTTGGAGAACGGAAACGAAAAGTTCAGCAATTTTTCCATTTGTAAACGAGCATAACTCTGGAACTGTTAAAGTGACACCACCAAAATTCAAACTTGATTTGTATTATGTGGAAATAAGCATTGGGTATAAGTTTCATAACATTTGGTTGAGGCAAACTAAAGTTAGAGAACGGAAACTAAAAATTCAGCAATTTTTCCATTTATAAAGGGGCATTACTCTAGAACGGTTAAAGTGACGCCACCAAAATTCAAACTTGATCTGTGTTTTGTGGTAATAAGCATTGTGTATAAGTTTCATAACATTTGGTATAGGCAAACTAAAGTTAGAGAACTGAAACCAACTTTGGGACGTACAGACGGACAAGGGTAAAACTTATTGCCCCCTCCGCTACGGCGGGGTCATAAAAAAATACAAACTTGTTTTTCATTATTATGGAAGACATGGTCAAAACCTACAATAAAATTATCAAACAAATTTCCTGTCACATGTGTACCATACTTTTTTTTTAAATGGCAATAAGCAAAACAAAAACAACATTTCTGTTCCATACTAAATGATACTGTATTAACTATAACAATCAAACAACAATTCATACACATACATGCACACAAATACACACATTATATAATGCAAACCAATACATGAATTTTTGGGGACATTTCCCAGTATTTCAGACTTTTTTAACTTCTAATCAAAAGTGATATGAACTTAACCTTTATAGCTTGCTGTTCTGTGTGAGCCAAGGCTCCGTGTTGAAGGCCGTACTTTGACCTATAATGGTTTACTTTTACAAATTGTGACTTGGATGGAGAGTTGTCTCATTGGCACTCATACTACATCTTCTTATATCTATTAACATTAATAAGACAGCAATCTAGTTACACAAAATAACTAAACAGTCATGTAGAGGTCACCATTCAGGCTATATCATTGGATGAGTGTCCAAACCATAGATAAATTATAAAAAAATTCAAGATAGCCATTTATTGCTATTTTCTTAAATTTGCTTTGATCTTTTTGTGATAATTTTTCATATCATGCTACATCTCATTTCAAGGCTGTTGCCTTTCAATCAGATTGTAGCTGAGAAAAACCCACTCGTTTGAAGAACCATCGATAATCTATAAGTATCTGACACCACATATATGATCTACATATGTACATTCAACTGGTGTTCTTTTCCATTGCATACATGTATGAATAAATGCACACATTTATAAATTAATATATAACAAACAGAATGTCATATTTTACCTTGGATTTAGTACTTTACTTTGTTTCATCGGTTTTGCAACTTCTTTGTTCTTGTTTGTATGTGTTGGTGGGCACTGAAGAGGAAGTGTACCTCCACCTTAAATAAAAGATTGTTTTTGCTCAGTTGCCATGCTTATTTATCAAGCTAGAGTGATTGAGATGTCATTATTTTGTTTTTCATACAAGAAAAAGAAATTGGATTTTAAAAATCAATAAAATGTAAAACTAAAGTACTTGTAGATAATTGCTAAAAAAAATCAAACTAAGACCTTTTTTTGAGATGTTGACAAATAAATATAAAATAAGTCAAGATGTTGTTTGATTGTCAACGAAACAACTATCCACCTGCATCTAAATTACACAGAATTAAGCACATATTTCCTCTTTCATTTTTACTTTTTCTGAATGGTGCCATTTATTTCTTGCAATATGGATGAGTGCCCTCTTCCCCACTATTTAATAATGCAATAAAAGTAGAGGTTAAACAATATATAGGTGTAATGTCAGAGACCTTCCAAAAATTCAGTTTGCTTAACTATTACTGAAAAAATTTAAAACAATAAATTTTGTAGTTTATTTTAGAACTCTGACAGCAAGTATATTCTTCTGAAGCATTTTTGAGACTGATAACCTGAAATACAAAATGAAAATTGCAATATTCCATATAACATGTATGATAGGGTTATTGCATTAATATTGAGGAATATTGTCCTGAGAAGTATATCATATATCAAGAGCTTGAGGTAACCGGTAATATTAAATAACACAACTATTTATATTCCTTTTTTTTGATAATAACATTAAGGTCAAGTCAGATTTTTGTTAAATTTTGCATACAGCTGTGGTATGTTAAACTTGAACTGAAAATCAAAACAATTATGCATTTATCTCTTTTATCATGTTTATTTTCTGAAATATTACTAAATGAAATCTTTCAAAATGGTTGAACATTTGTATAGAAAGCACATACAATTGGCAAATGTAGTAGTTAGTGAAATACATAAAATTATATGAAGACGAGAAGAAATCTGCCAGTTTACTCAATTACACTGTGTATACTACCCTATGTACTGTGTACAACTTACTTCTTAGTGATTTTTCCAAGTTTCTTTGTTGCGTACTTGTAAGCCTTGATTCTTGCATCATTTCTGAAAAACATTAATGCAAAACTGACAAAAATTTTGTCTTTCCTTCATAATATTGTTCTGTACACTGCAGTTTTACAATTAATAGAGTATGTCTTTATGGTACCTTAATGACAAAGCAGTGGCTTATTACATGTACCTGCTATTGTTAGAGGAATAGACATAGAGAATATACCAGTCTATATCAGTGTTTTAGCTAGGATTTGAAAATTCGAACGTTGATGGAACGAAACACACCCTTTTAGTCTGTACGAAACAGTAAGACAATGGGATCAGCTCAAATATTTCAATTTCACAAGCTTCTAATGCAATTTAACAAATAATTTCTTTAAAATGTACAATTATTATTTAGGAATAACTTTTGATCAGTATTACTGTATCGTCAATGGCATTGTTTTATTATTGACTTTCTCGACTCTATCATAAGAAGAGTGAATTTTCTTTTGTTTTCGTTCACTAGATTTCCCACTGCCTAGTCGGGCAGATTTTGTATCCTTATCTGATGCAAGAAAAATAATTATACGTCGATGTGATATTTTCGCAGTTTAAGGTATAAATCATTGTACTTTTAATTAAATATTACTTATTATTAAAAAATAAATGGAGAATGTGTCTATGGGACACAGATGATGCCCCCACTTGCTTATAATGTTATAAAGGGCATAGCTAGCATGGCTAGAGAACTGTAAAAGTGATGCCACCAAATCTGAACTTGATCTGTGTTTTTGTGGCAATAAGCATTGTGTATAAGTTTCATAATATTTGGTCGAGGCATACTAAAGTTAAGAGAAAGGAAACTAATTTTGGGACGTATGTACGTACAGACAAGGGTAACACTTTATGCCCCCTTGGGGGCATAAAAACGTTACATTTACCTGAAAGAGATAGCGTTTCTTTGTTTACATTGAAAATGACTTCATAGATAAAATTCCTTTATTACAGGACCAACATTGGATATGTTTCCGTAATTTTATTAATTTTTCTACAGAAACAATGCTGGGAGATTTATTGTCAAGCCCTCAGTCATGAAGCCAATGATGGAAATAGAAAAAAAGTTTGACGATCTTAGTACATTTTTTGTACTTTTAATTTGCAAAAACGTTTAGTAATAAGTTTTATATTGAATTCAATTTAATATGATGTCAGAGGTCAAAGTCCTCAATAACAGTAGAAAAATCAATATACATTGTACATGTACATTGTACTAATGAACTCAAAATTGTTAACTTTTTTCAGTCTTCTGCATTTGCATAGAAATCCTTTCTGGTAAAGTTTGTCTCTTCCTGTATCGTTTGTCTCAGGATTTTGTGTAAAATATAAGGAAGATTATCACATGATTTCCCACTAATTTGTTGTTTTTGATTACCAAAAGAATATTGAGTTAAACAATGAAAATAAATTCAATATCATTTTACAGGTGGAAACCCAGTTGAAATTAAACAAAAGAAATGGAACTCTTTGTTAGAGAAGGTAAAATAGGCGAAGTTAGTAAATTTCTATATTCTCGTTTTTTATATAGATTAGACCGTTGGTTTTCCCGTTTGAATGGTTTTACACTAGTAATGTTTTGGGGCCCTTTATAGCTTACTGTTCGGTGTGAGCCAAGGCTCCGTGTTGAAGACCGTACTGTGACCTATAATGGTTTACTTTTATAAATTTTGACTTGGATGGAGAGTTGTCTCATTGGCACTCATACCACAACTCCTTATATCTATTGAATTGTTTACATCTGTTACTATGGGCTTTAAAAGTTTAATGAATGTGCATAATTTAGGATTTTATGCATCTTATGTATTTTTACTTAAATTATTGAATTGAGGTTTGAGATGCTTGTAAACTTTTAAATTATAGACAAATTTTCACAAAACAGTCGATTGAGGTAGGTGCAAATTCTCGTGGATCTTTTTTGTGCATAAGCATAAATTCCGACGAAAAAATTTAAAAGAAAGATAATAGATTTACCTTCTTAAAGCATCAATTTGCATCTCTGCCCCGGTGACAGTTTTTTGGAAAAAAAAACCCAAAATAGGCAATAATTTCATCGAAAAGAGAAAGTCGAGTACACCTTTTTATGTTCAGGCGTGTTTGAGTTGACTATTCTGTCTTGAAAACGTATAAAAGAAAAATATTTGATACATCATCTCACTTCAGATTGTATTATTTTTATATATTTAGGTTGTAGGTTGATACAAAAACATTAAAACTCTACAGTACTCAAAGATATATGGGTCAAATGATATACCTTTTGGCGTGTTCGAATAACATATTTTTTACTAAAAGTACTTGACAAACTTTACTGGTGGATCTTAAAAATGCTTAACTTCAAAAAAACTTCATTTTTTGTGTGTGTTAAATTGGGTAATTAGTCTTCAACCCCTGAAATTTTTTAGTCTGCCCTTCCACGAAATATTTAATTAGAATTTTTTAAATATTTTTGAACTTTCGAAAATTCCCCCTGACAACTGATCAGACAATAGCTTTTAAGTTGACCAAATACATAAAAGTACATTAAATGATGCTCATTAGCTAGTAGATACATTTGTCTTTTAAAATACAACTGGCATATAAGGATCGTAATGATAATATGTGGATAAATTTATCGGTTTTCAAGAGCTAAATTGACAGTGCGTCATCACTACAATGGCTTCCATTTTTACGATTATGAAAATTAGGTGGCGTAATGGGGAGATAATTTTGACGAAGTAGAATCCTGACTGTTTTAAAAGAGATTTATAGTGCTTATTAAACGTACAATTTTATACAAACAAAATTTCATGTATACACATGTACATTATTATATTTTTATTTAAATTGAATTTAAAATGTGAAAAAAACGTTACCTGAAGATAGCCTTTCTTTGTTTACATTGAAAATGATGTCATAACTAAACTACATAATATATTTAATAATAGGACCAACATTGGAAAAGTTTCCATATTTGTGCAGAAATCTCTTTCTTTCTTCCGGTCTCATTTGTCACGGGATTATCATTTTGAGTACATTATAGGAAGGAGCATCACATTGTTTCCCCAAAATTTGTTGTTTTTGATTACCGAAAGAATACTGCCAGTTAAACAATAATAAATTGCTTCGCTGAGCACAGCTGGATACGACCGCAGAGGTCCAACCCTGAACAGTTTGGGCAAAAATGGACACAATATTCGCGCTTGATACAGGTCTGAATTTGGATTGTAATTAAATATCTGACACAAAATAGGTTTCTGACACAGAATAACTGTAGTCAAAGAACTTAGAATTGGTAATATGATTTGAATTTATATTCAATTTATGCTTTTGTGCAATACACTATGCTGTTGCGTATTGACCCCCCCCCCCCCCCATCTTTTTTTTGCAAAAAAAAAAAAATATTTGAAGAAATTTTCTTTTTAATTTCTGAAATCTGAAATGAGATTGTCCCCCCCCCCCACCACAATTTCATATTTAAAATTGTCCATTATCCAGGAAACCCTTGTTTTTCCCCTTTTTTGCACCGAATTCCTAAATGGTTTGAGCCATAACCCCCCAAAGTCAATCCTAACCATCCCTTTGTGGAAACTTGTGGTATAATTTCAGAGAGATTCATACACTTAAACACAAGTTATTGTCTGGAAACTACAAAAATGCTTATTTGGGCCCCTTTTTTTGCCCCTAATTCCTAAACTGTTGGGACCATAATCCCCAAAATCAATCCCAATCTTTCTTTTGTGGTTATAAACCTTGTGTTTAAATTTCATAGATATCTATTTACTTATACTAAAGTTATTGTCCGGAAACCAACTGTCTTCGGACAACGACGACGACAACGTGATACCAATATACGACCACAAAAATTTTTTGAGGTTGTATAAAAAAAAAATTCCTTACATTTTAAAATGAGTCTGGAGCTTAGTCAGCATATGATTTTATAGCAAACAAAATGTGTTCTTTTGGGAAACTAATTTGATCAATCAGTCAGAATAACAAGCCGACTTGGTATCTTTGTCGTTTAACGATATAAATTATAACAATCTTATTTTAATAACTCTTTGATATGAAAAAAAGATGTTATCTGATGATAGTGTTTCTTTGTTTACATTGAAAATGACTAACAACTAAAATCCCTAACAAGAAGACCAACATCCGAAACGTTTCCTTATTTCTGTTTCTTTTTCAACAGATTCTGCAGTTAATATATGCTTGAATTAAAAAAAAAATATACCATCAAACGTCTCCTTTCACATGTAACACATGCCTCATATACACAACAGGCCACATGGATTTTGTTTTTTCCACTTGCCCACCGTGGGCAGAAGTATGTTGTCCACGCATTTGCCCACCGTGGGCTTGTTGCCCACTCCATTGCGTGGACGGCAGTGGACATTGGTAGCGGAAGTCCATGCAGTCTCATGGACGTCTGTGGGCACAATATCGGACACAATTATTAATGGCTATTAATTTTACGATTTTATATCTATGATAAAAGTTAACGCTACGATTACATTGAAGGCAAAATCATTCATACACCAATAAGTATCGTTGGAGGAAGGGCATGTCATAATAAACATAACTTAATAATTTTATACTAAAAATAGGATTCTTTTATTATAATAACAGGAAGTTGAGATACCCATGACAAAACATAGCTCGTTTGTTTATTCATTGGTCAAACATTGTAAAAAGCTTTATTTCTGTGTCATTTGGTGTCTTGTGAAGAGTTGTCTCATTGCCAATCATACCACATCTTCTTTTTTACATCTAAAGCTTCTTACTGAACCCTATAAAACATGTAATAGACATAGATTGATTCACTTCCGCCCACTTGTATTCCCGTGGACAGGGAATGGCCACGCCCATGGTAGGCCCATGGCCATGGAAATAGCAAAATCCACGTGAGCTGTAGTGTACATTGATATAGCTGATGACAGATGTACCAATTTAGCCAACATTGTGTACTTGGCTATTGTGCTGTTTTCTGCAGTTTAGATTTAAATGAATTCAAAATATTTGCCACTTGACGTTAAGCAAGCATTCCATTAATCAAATCATTTCTATAATCATGTTTTAATTTAATTTGTGATACAACTACAAGCCCCTGTGAATAAATAACAACGACTGAAAATTAGATTTCGAAAACTATGAAAATGTAGGCTACATGACCAATTTTACCCTTTAGCAAACTGTGTGTTTGTTTGCTGTACTGAACTTGCGGGGGATTCCAAAATCCCCCTCCCGCTACTCGGGTTTCTTTTTGTGGTGCCGCCATATTTCAACAAATTGGAATCTATGTGTAGAACGTCACTTCCGTGTGTAGATGATATAATTATAGAACACACTCCGGGTACGGGGAGAAAAATTATTTCTTCCCGCATACTAACCCGAATAATTCAGTCCCACCCCGTGATCGACTCTCCCACTTGCGAGACTTAATGTAGCCATCGTAGAGCAGTGGAATATAACGACTGAATTATTCGGGTTACCCGCATACCAAAAGAAATACTATGAATTTTTCCATCTATCAAACATCTTCCTTGACCACAATATACAAGGATTTTTAGCCAACTTTCTTACCTGCACTTATTAATACATTTATCTACTATTGAGAACATACAGAAAAATTAAATTTGATTTCGAATTTGAATCAGACTTATATCATTCCGTGAGGGGACCCTTTTGAGTGGTAGGGGTGAGCAACTGTGATATCGAGTACCCAACCCTTCTTACGGTATATATTTTGAATAACAAAAAATACATTCTCTATCATATTTTTACAAAATTATAGCTATCATGCTATAAACGCTAGTGTCATTGAGAGATACATAATATATTTGACAAATATCTGATGCATTTTTATAAATATTTGCCACTGGACGCTAAGCAACCAACAATCAATTAACCATACTGTAGTTTTAATCACATCTGATTTGTTTCAAATACTTATGATTCAACCAGCAACATTCAGTGTCATTCAGATGTTTCATCTTAAATTCTCGACTCACTTCATATAATAAAAGGTACCCCCCCTCCTCGACGAGTCCCATCCGTGACTGGTAGGGAACAAAAACGGTTATTGTCTAAATTTCATATTAGTGACCGGGCATTCATTAAAAATTGAAACAGGTATATACAATGGAGCCGGACCCCCCGAGTAGAGGCAAACAAACGTATTTGTAAGTTATGCCACAATGCTGTAGAGAACCAGGATGAAGGGGTCATGAAGTACATTTCCTCAGTTTTGAAATGTCCATCTTATGATGAAAAGCGTTACCATTACTTAAATACAATTAAATCCAAATATGAAAAAAATATTGATGAAAACAAATTCATCGGGTTATAATAAATGAGAATATAATATAGGTGTTTCATTGAGATCCCGCTTTAGCAGCTGCTTACAGAACTATCAAAAAAAGACACGAATAGAAAGATAATACATAAACAAATTCAATCATAATAATAATTCACAGATTCGCAAAATTTTGTAAATTTTGTAGATCATTGCACTATTTTATGATTTTATTTTCGACATTGTCATGATTGTATTAAACCTTATTTTGTTTAAAAACCATTCTGCCGAAATTTACCCAAAGGAAATAACCTTAAATAAATCAAATATTAACAGCAATAACTGTCCTTTACTAGAGTTAGACATTTCGGTGTTACGCCTGAAACTCTACTCAAAAATTTACGACAAAAGGGATGATTTTTCTTTCTATATATTCGGCTAATTTTCCATTTTTGGACGGTGATGTTCCTTTGGCATGCACTGTCTTACGGTGTTTATATATATAACAACTCGTTCGCTATGCCCGGCTCAGTAGTGACGTTTTAGATTTCAATGAACGTAATCTATGTATTACACGTAAACTATTGAGTCAAAGATTTCGTTACCACAATTTACTTAGTAAACTTTTACTAAATTATTCCATAGATTTTGTTTGAAAGTTTGGCTGTACATGTAGAAGACTTATCATAAACGGCATAGCACATCCTGATTTTTACGGTGTTGTTTACCGAGCCCGTAAATTTAGATACGCTCCGGGTTAACCAATCGGTCCTTTAAATAGACTTATTCTGTAATAGTTATCCCATGAGGACGCGGTGTGTCAGTGTAAGATCACCTCGATGGCCGGTGGCCAGAGGGTGATCTTACACTGACACACCAAGTCTGAATGGGATAACTATTTTACATCCCAGCTGTTCTAGATTAGATAAAAACCCATTTACTCTTCATAAAATCTAGTTAAGAACGCCACACAATCATTATAATATATTTTATATATTACTATATAGTATATACCCTTTATGAGCCCCGAACACAATGTTTAAATATGTTAAATCAACAGTCGTCCTGGTGTAGGGGTATGACTCGTGGATCTATATGCTGAAGGTCTCGAGTTCGATTCCCAGCATAGATACTGGATTTTTTCTACACAAATTTTGATAGTAAGTCTTTTCCGTATTAATATTTCTAAGTTTAATTGTGGATTTGACATTCCCGCCAAAATGTTACAGAACAAAGAAACTCAAGGTAGGTAGAACAAATTAAGGAGGTCATGAAGTACATTTCCTCAGTTTTGAAATGTCCATCTTATGATGAAAAGCGTTACCATTACTTAAATACAATTAAATCCAAATATGAAAAAAATATTGATGAAAACAAATTCATCGGGTTATAATAAATGAGAATATAATATAGGTGTTTCATTGAGATCCCGCTTTAGCAGCTGCTTACAGAACTATCAAAAAAAGACACGAATAGAAAGATAATACATAAACAAATTCAATCATAATAATAATTCACAGATTCGCAAAATTTTGTAAATTTTGTAGATCATTGCACTATTTTATGATTTTATTTTCGACATTGTCATGATTGTATTAAACCTTATTTTGTTTAAAAACCATTCTGCCGAAATTTACCCAAAGGAAATAACCTTAAATAAATCAAATATTAACAGCAATAACTGTCCTTTACTAGAGTTAGACATTTCGGTGTTACGCCTGAAACTCTACTCAAAAATTTACGACAAAAGGGATGATTTTTCTTTCTATATATTCGGCTAATTTTCCATTTTTGGACGGTGATGTTCCTTTGGCATGCACTGTCTTACGGTGTTTATATATATAACAACTCGTTCGCTATGCCCGGCTCAGTAGTGACGTTTTAGATTTCAATGAACGTAATCTATGTATTACACGTAAACTATTGAGTCAAAGATTTCGTTACCACAATTTACTTAGTAAACTTTTACTAAATTATTCCATAGATTTTGTTTGAAAGTTTGGCTGTACATGTAGAAGACTTATCATAAACGGCATAGCACATCCTGATTTTTACGGTGTTGTTTACCGAGCCCGTAAATTTAGATACGCTCCGGGTTAACCAATCGGTCCTTTAAATAGACTTATTCTGTAATAGTTATCCCATGAGGACGCGGTGTGTCAGTGTAAGATCACCTCGATGGCCGGTGGCCAGAGGGTGATCTTACACTGACACACCAAGTCTGAATGGGATAACTATTTTACATCCCAGCTGTTCTAGATTAGATAAAAACCCATTTACTCTTCATAAAATCTAGTTAAGAACGCCACACAATCATTATAATATATTTTATATATTACTATATAGTATATACCCTTTATGAGCCCCGAACACAATGTTTAAATATGTTAAATCAACAGTCGTCCTGGTGTAGGGGTATGACTCGTGGATCTATATGCTGAAGGTCTCGAGTTCGATTCCCAGCATAGATACTGGATTTTTTCTACACAAATTTTGATAGTAAGTCTTTTCCGTATTAATATTTCTAAGTTTAATTGTGGATTTGACATTCCCGCCAAAATGTTACAGAACAAAGAAACTCAAGGTAGGTAGAACAAATTAAGGAGCTGGGATGTAAAACAGGTTACCAATTCAACGCTGTAATTAGATCTTTGAATATTGATTTATTGGTATAAATTTTCATTTTGTTATCAGTAAATTAAAACCAAACAGTAAATATAATTGTTATATATATATATGTACACTTACTGTTCTAAAATCTGTCGATACCTCTATTTTGGCATTGCACAACGTCATGTTTTTCTCTGACTGTTAATGACGTCTTTACACTTAATCCATTGGATGTTAGATGTCTACTGATTGATATATTTGTCTTAGACACATGCTTTTTTATTAGTTGTTATTGGAAATTTACCAGCTTTCAGTTAACTGCGATTACTCTCAGATCTGTACTTTCTGTGTCTTTTGTGTTTGTGTAAGGGTTTTTATGTGCTTTGTATCGATCTGGTGAGTTAAGCCCATTTCACATTATTATGTATGTGCCTGTCCCAAGTCAGGAGTCTGTAATTCATTGGTTGTCGTTTGTTGCTGTATATCATGTTTGATTTTCGTTCGTTGTTTTATACATAAATCAGGCTGTTAGTTTTCTCGTTTAAATTGTTTTACATGTCATTTGTAATATCGGAGCCTTTTATAGATTACTATGCGGATTTTGCTCATTGTGAAGGCCGTACGATGATCCGCTATAGTTGTTAACTTCGATTTCATTTAGTCTCTGGTGAAGAGTTGTCTCATTGGCAATCATACCACCTCTTCTTATATATATATATATATATATCACTGAAGAGACATTAATTGTCGAAATCCGGATATGGTGTACAAAACCTTTGCACCTTTTGTTTGCGGTATATCATCTTTTCCGCAAGTCCATTTTTTTCTGTTTAGTGTTAAATTTAAAATTAAGATCCATTTATTACATCGGTGATCCGTTTATTTGGTAATCGCCAATGGCAGTCAGCAGGGTTTAAGAACATTTGTTGTTCGACCTGTTAGTCAAATGCGTTTTGTTAAAATATACTTTTTCACTTTTTTGGTCTTTTGGAAAATGTTGTTTGTGCTGTATTTAGACCCCTCTAACAAGAAATTTGTTTTGCATGCACACGTATAAAAATTGCGGTTTTTATCCAACGCAATCATAGGTTTGAACGTTGTTTTCAATTTAGACTTGTTTATATATATAATATATATATATATATATATATATATATATATATATATATTTGGTATTAAATTAATAATAAGATCTTTTTTGTTACATCTTGTGATCCGTTTATTTGGCAATCCAACTCAATCATAGGTTTGAACGTTGTTTTCAATTTAGACTTGTTTAACAACGTTAACTTTTAATTCATATTAACAAAAACGCATTTCTAATGCGAATTGGATAATGCGATTTAGCCAATTCGAATCAATTTGAATTAAAAAAGAAGAGTGTGTGAACGCGATAAGCGAATTCGATTC